TCCTTGGAAGAAAGACTTTCTACTTTCTACTCTCATTATATAAACTATCATATATATATTTCTACCTTCTCAGAAACCCACAGGGTCAGTTCTACCCCGTCCTGTAGGATCACTATGAGCTGGCATTGACTCAGTGGCAGTGAGTTTGGTGTTGGCTTATTAAAACAGTAGATAGTTTTCCAAAAAAGGATCTAAATTTCAAATAATTATTAGATTTTTGTCCGACCTTGACTTTCTTTACATCTTTTTTCCCCAAGTCACCACCTTAGTTTCTACATTGTTTTTTCATGTTTGTTTTATATTCATCTCTAAATGAATATAATAATACATATCTTTTCTATATCATTGGGTTGTTGTTGCAAGATTCAGATTAACAAAATGTTGTATAAGACATAGTTAAGAAATTACATTTATATACAAGACAATTTTTGAAAATCCTAGATAAGTTGGGAAAGCTGATAAACTATTATGAAATGATCTTGGGCTAAGGTAAGAGTGATAAACTTTTGACATTAAACATTTGCATAACACCTGTTTTTAAAAAGACATTGAAATAAACTGAGAGTTGATAAATGTGGAAATATAAGACTAAGTTTTATAATTCTAATTCTAAATAACACTAAAAGATTCTCATAGAAGAAAATTAGAATTTTAAAAAAGATTTTTAATGTGCCAAAATTTTTTTTAGGCTCGAAACATTGAATGTGAAATTTTAAAAAAAGATAAGCAAATGAAGATATTAGAAAACAAGGTATTGTCAAATTGCAGTATGATTTTGGGAATTAGGGGTATTTGTATATATACTTTACGGATTTTTCAGACTTTGAGAAAATGTAGAATTTTCGCTATAGGTTTTCTTTGGGTTCAGTGGTTTTATACAATGCTCGAAAGAGCAAAGTTTTATTAAACTCCTCTTTAGTGCTCCCTTTCCCCAAATTTCATACAGCTGCATTTATTGTGAATATCCTTGAAGGGGCAAGACACTTAAAAATAATTTTTAGCTATCTTTTCCTTTCCTATAAATTTTATATTAGTAGAACTGCAACAAAATTACTGCTCTCTGTATGTGAATATTACTTCCAGCCTACTTATCTCAATTGGCTCTTCCTTTCTGTGCCTTCCCACTCATCTTAAACTTGACCTTCC